ACATTCTTCGCCATTGAAAAACACTTTAACGCGAAGTGAGATGAGAAATGGGATCGGTAGAAAAGAAGGAATGAAAAATCGATATTATCTTCGACTTTTTGACTAAAATATGGACCCTGTTAAGATGCAAGAAACACACGAACGTCCTCGAAGACGTAGAAGCTCATATCCCATCCTAAATCATGTATTAATTACCGATCGACAATAATTCCAGCATAAATTACGCGTAATCGGTTAAATCGCTTAGATATTACGCCATTACAGCTATAGTCTTATTTGACACTCGAGCGTTCCTTTTTTTTTTCTTTTCTTTCTTTTTTTTTTTTATTATTATTATTATTTTCTAATACTCATATAATCACGATCTAAAGCGAAATACACCATCGCCAGGAGATTAGCCAAAAATTGGGACGCAATCGGAGCTTTTTATGGAAGCCTTGAACAAGTCTGCCTGATAGTCGTTCTTCCAATTTTTCTTATTTGAACCACGAGCAGACAGATTTTGATATTTATTGTTCTTCGATAATTCTCTTAATGAACTTTCATTCTTTTTTTCGTTTCTCTCCTCTCTCTCTCTCTCTCTCTCTCTTTCGCTCGCTCTTTCTTTCTTTTTCTAAATTTATATTAAATCGTTTTCGACCAACATTTTCGCGAATGTAAAAATATAACAGTTTTAATTTTTTTCTATTTTTCATCTCTTTTTTTTCCATTTTTTCGTGATAATAATAAATTTCGATCATCTGTTCTTCTCTCCTATACTTATACTCTCTCTCTTATATACTTAACCGTATATAAGCTCGATAAAGGATAGATAGAAAGAAATGTATATTTATTTGTCGAAGTTTCTTCGGTACAAGTTTTTGAAACGATTTTTTTTTAAATAAATAATTAAAACAATATTCGAATACCGTTATTGTCGAATATAAGATCATTTCATAAAACAGTATTAATTTTAAGGGACGTATTTTTTCCTCTCTCTCTCTCTCTCTCTCTCTCTCTCTCTCTCTCTCTCTCTCTCGTACAGATGAAAGGATTTTCAAATTTTTGATAAACTTTTTTTTTTTAAAAACAAGTACAATCGATCGTATCTCGATTTGCTGAAAAAAAGATGTTTCTATGGATACTTTCTTCGGAAATTTCAACGGGATAACATCTGCAAAGAATTTTGCCGATATGTATAATATAATACGAAGGAACTTTTTGAAGGACGTCAAGTATATGCATGAAGGATAATAAAATCCTTCGAAAGGACAGAATGTTTTTGGCAAAAGTTACTTATAACTTTGCGCTTTGGCGATCGAATTTCGTTCTTTCTATTTGCAAGATCTTTACTCTTATATTCTTCTCTCTCTCTCTCTCTCTCTCTCTCTTAATTTTCTTTTTTTTTTATGTCAAGAACATTCATCCATCATTATTCAAACGATCAAATTTCGAATTGTATTACAGAATTTAAAGTTTAACCCTTTGAGGCATTATTTCCTTTAAATAATACAACATTAATAACGTTTTCGAGTAATTTCACATTTACATTATGCGTGAAATAAAATATATCTATTAATATCAATAATGAAACCATATTAATATTTTTATTATATTAAATTATTATTGATATCAATATTCTATTCAATATTAATCTCAAATACCTGTTCTGAATACTTTAATAATCGAACACTCAGACATTTAAATATTTGAATATTTAGATATTTATGTACTTGTTACATTATTTTTATAACATACAAAATTTATAACATACAAATTAATTTATTATAGCGAAATAACAATATGTTTTTTTAGCGCAGTTTGCTCCACCAAAGGGTTAATATTATACAATGTTTAATAGAAGATGTATTCTCGTATTCTTTTGTTTTTTTTTTTTTTTTTTTGTTATAAACGATCCCGAATCGCCTTTGGACAACGCGGACGGCAAGGCGAAAAATCGAGGACGAATTTATGTTAAGGACGAAATCGGAAGGAGAATATAGTAACTAATAATAGTAAGAATAATTATGAAAGAAAAGAATATTTTTTTTTGGTTCATTCCTGGCAATGGTGTAAAAAGAAGGGAAGGGACGGTGGCTTGAGGCTGGCTCGGTTTATGGACACAAATTAAAACTATGTACCTGTGTCTATCGCACACAAAGTTCAACTTTAATGAAACAATTTTAACTAAAACAAAAAAGAAATAAATTTAAAATAATTTCCATTGCACTATTAATACAAAAAATTAAATAATATATAATAATAATAATAGTAATGGGAAAATAATATAAAACAAAAAAATAAAATTTAAATTTTATTTAATTGATTGTTAGCTAATATTAACTAAATTGAAACAAAATATAAATAAAGATTTCTCGTTTTTTGGATTAAAATTGTAGACACAGGCAATACAATAACTATACAATATAAATATAATAATAGTGACAATTGATAATTAATGAACGATGAATAAATTATCTTTTAGGTACTCATTTGGATTTCGCGACGAAGCTGACAGCAATATCGCAATAAACAATATAAAATTGTAATATTGATAATAATAATAGTAATAATAATAATAGTATTAGTAGTAGTAGTAGTAGTAATAGTAGTAGTAGTAGTAGTAGTAGTAGTAGTAGTAGTAGTAGTAGTAGTAGTAGTAGTAGCAATAGTAATAGTAATAGTAATAGACATAATAATAATAATAATCATAATAATAATAAAGATAATACTAGTAATAATGCTAATAACAAATTTGATTAAAAACAGTTTACAATAAACGTATAATATTATGTACATATGCAGGATATATTAAAATTTTACAATGATTTAAAATAAATACTAAATGTAATAAAAATGTAAAAATATAAATATATATATTAAATATTTTATTTTCTTTATAAAATTAAAATAAAAAATTTTAAGCAAATTTCATCATTTCTATCTCGCTAAAAATTATAAAATTATATAAAATTGCATCCTGCATAATGTATCATATATATATCTCTACGAAAATACAAGCATTCACACACATGCTCGCGCGCATTTCAACAGTTGATTAAAATTTCGACTTAATTGTGGAGATGCTAAATCTCGTAGAGATATTAGATATCAATAAAATATTTTTTTTTGAAAATTAAAATTTCGTTTTGAAATTAATCTTTATACTATTTTATATATGCTCTTTTACTTTTTCTTCTTCGTTTATTTTGCACTCGTAAATGAAATATAAAGAATAATATATATATATATATTGAAAGTTACCGTAATCCAATTTTGCATCAACAAATATATAAATCATTAAAGCCTTCTTGCACAAAAAGTTATTAATTAATAATATTATTAAATAAAATAAAATATAACGAACATCAAATCATATATATATATATGATTTTTGTTGCATAATTTTTATAATTCTTAAATTTAACATTGAATAGAATGATTATTTGATTTGTAATTAAAAAAATTTATTTATAATTCTTTACTTAATCTGTTATTATTATGCATACAAAAAAACATAAAAAAGTTATAAAATTTCGCTAATAATATTAACTTGATTATGCAAGATGGCTAAAAATATATATGAAATTTAAAAAACAAAAAGAGCAATATATATATTCATAAAAATATATATAATTCCAAATTACAATTAATAATTGTAATCAATTTGTTGTCTCACACAATAACTAGATTGAATATTAAAAAACGTTTATTATTAAAAACAATTATTATGCATTGATCAATATCAAAAAGCACAGTTATAACTTAAAAAATGAACGGTTAAAATATATAAATAGATATAAATTAACAACAATTACTAAATAAATCTGAAGTGAATGCAATAATATCACTAATAGATATAAAAAAGCTGCCAAATTACATAAAATTGATTTAAAGCCTATTTAGGCCAAGTTCTATAAAATACTATAAAAAATGTTTTCTTGAAAAATACTAAAATCATGATTATTATATAATAATCTAGCAAAAACGAGTTAAAATGCCATTGTACCAGAGACATTAAAAAACAATGACTGAAAAAAAAATGATAAATAAAATAAAATAATATTTTTATGCAAGCAATAAAACACTTCGTCATAATTAAACCAGATTGATAATCCAGACTACTTGGAAAATGGGTCCCTAATTCTGTTATTTTGCTATTCTATACGTCTTTTTTCTCAATTCTATACATCTATTATGTTTTTTGTTCTACTTTGATTATAAATGCTACAGTCGCGCACAGTAATATTGTCTCTATGGTATGCAATGTAAAATTCTTGTTTTTTCTTTCGTTTGTTTACCTAAAAACAATATATGTTCATTTTATCATGCATCTCATTAATACAAAAAAGTTGATGTATTATCATAATTACTATGTAACTATATAAATTATTCATGCGAAATTATTTACGATATAATAATAATAATAATACTCAATCATAACGAAAATAAATCTAGCTACAAAAGGAAAATATGCGATTGTTAAAATGTAAAAATAAACACATTTACAATTTAGATATATTTTCTTACAAAAGAAAATAATTGATTATAAAAATCAATTTTATTAAATATCTAATTTTATTAAATATCAATAAGCGTGCTATTCACGAGAATCTTTGATCAATTCTTTGTGAATAAATCTTCAAACATAGAAAATTTTAGCAATTTTGCAACAATGTCGCATGAAATAAAAATTTTGCATAACAAAAACATATTCTGTTTGTTAGACATCTTTACTAACAATATTGGTAACAGAAGACAGAGTTTTCTATGAATTTCTATGATATGGAGCAATATCAATACAAGAACATATGAACATTTCTGAATGTTCTGCTTCTTATCCTTTGTAACGCATATTTATAAAAATTGTTTTTCATAATAAAAACAATTTTTTTCAACTTTCAATTTTATGAAATAAAGTCAAATTGTGAAAAAATAAACTCATAATATAATATAAAAATATTATATTATATTACGAGTTTATTTTTTTTTATTGGCAACAAATTAATCAATAAAAATATAATGCTAAAGTATTTTTGTCATTTTTAAAAAGTAATTTTAAAAGGTATAATTAATTTTTTGTAGCAATATAATTCAATAATGAATAGTAATAGATTAAAATATTTAAAATTCTTGTTTTTCTCAGAATAGCTTGCTCCACATCTTCATCATTTTCTAGAAAAATTCTCTGCCTAAATGAGGACGGTTTGTTTGTTGCGACATTCGCATTCTACCTCGGCCACTTGTACTAGTAGCATGTCTTCGAGTATTTCGCAACTCTCTATCGACCTCTAGCTCTTCCAATTTCATAGTTAAAACGAGTTTTTGTTGCACCGCTAATCTTAATAGTGAGTTCAATGTTTTTCTATCATCTTCTGCTGCGGCTAATTGACGTTGCAGTTCATCAACTTGTGTGACGTATTCTTCGCAACGTGCAGCAAACATCGCACGTAAACCTGAGAAGTGGTTAGCAGGTATTAACACCAAATAGAAAGAAGCTTATGAAATATCAGAAACATGATAGAAAATTAAAAAATATATTAGTCATATAAAAAGAAAAATTTTTTCTATAAAGTATAAAGAATATATCATATGTTTAATTTCAGTAAAAAAAAAAAAGTATTAAAAAAAAAGTAAAAGCGAAGAAAGAAAACTATTTTTATAGATATATCGCTCTGTTATTATTAAATATAATAAATACGATAGTATATATTATTAATATATGTTAATATATTTTGCTACGAAATGAAGCAATATTGTTGATAACAAATTCCTAATGCAACTGCAAAATCAAATGTAACACAACTCATTATAAGCAATAAAATATACATAAATGCTGATAATAAATTGTTAATTTTATGTTAATAAGTTAATATAAAAATGTTAGTAACAAAAAACAGAAAAAAGGAAAATATTAACTATACTCTTAAGTATCATCTTAACATATTACTATTATAAACATATTGTTAAAAATTTGAATAAACTTTTCAATCACTTACTTGAAAATGTTGCAGCATTTTCTTTTAACATTCTAAGTTCATTTCTTAGTTTTAACATGGTTTCATTAACGATGCTTTTTTCATTTTCATATTTGCTCTTCAAATTTGTAAGTGCTACTTCCGCAGTATTTTTATTCGATTTAAGCACTGTTCTTAAAGTTGCAATTTGCTCGCGTTTAGCCGAGAGCAAAGCCTTCAATCTAATTACTTGTTCTTGTAAATCTGCTACTTCCACTTTATTCTCATTTACTGATCCTATAATTTGTAATAATCGTGTTAATAAGGAGAGGAATTGTTACAAATAAGAAAAAAATTGTTCAACTTACCTTCACAAACGTTGCAAACATTCGATTGCATTCCTTTAACTTTGGAAAGTTCAATTGTATGCTCTACAGCACTTCGAAGATGTTTTATTTGATCTATCGCGGTTTCTATATGTTTCGCAATTTCTTTTGCTTTACTTAAACTTTCTAAATCCTTAATTTGGATATCGGTTTTAAATAAAGTCCGACACCATTCTATTTTTCCATTTTCTTCCTCTTTTTCGGGAACAATCTTTTCATGATCGAGAACCACCCTCGAAGGAATTTCTCCATTAACTGTACAAACATGATGATAAAGTTGTGCAAGCTCATCCGAAATATTTTGTAAATCATTTTGTGCAGAATCCAGAAAACCACCGGCTTCTACTGCAAGTTTTGAAAGGATAGAAATATCGGATTCAAGTTGTATGCTTCTTTGTTCTGTATCTAAAAGCTGAAATATAATAAATAATTTTATATTCATATTAATTTTATTTTTTAGAAATTAATTATTTTTATTATTTGTTACATATTTATTATAAGTTTATATAAAATTTTTCTTTTCAACAAACTACTAAAAATATAATCTACAAGTTAAAATAAGAAAAAAATATTGTATAAAGTTTAGTATAATAAAAATAATAAATAAAGTTGTTTTTTGAACAAATATATATATAACACAATATAAAATATACATCAAGATGAAAATGATTTACAAGAAAAGATTTACAAGAAAAATAAGTAACTAAACATATTAAAAGCTAATAAAAAAAATTAATAACTTAATGATTGATATTCAACAAAATTCTCAAAATTTACAATACAATAAATTTCATCTCACCCTGATTTAAAATTTGTATCATATAATTATATTTACATTATATAATATATAAGAAATATTTTAAGATATTAATGATAATATTAATGATATTATATTATTTTCAAAATATGATAATTAATTATTTTCAAAATTAGAATTATAAAAATATTATTGACATTTTGTACATTTTATATTTTATATTTTAAATTTTAAAATTTATTACTACATATATATTTTTATTATATTTTTTATTTTTTATATACTAGTATTTATATAGTATATTTATAATTTAGAGAAATATTATAACCAAACTTCATATAATATAATATTTTTATTTTAGTTTCTCAGAAATTACGTTTCTGCAATCTGTTGAGAAAAACAAGAAACAATATAATATTTGTTTCTTGATTAAAATCTTGATTATAAAATCAAATTGTTTATGTTTCAAAAAAACGACATTTGACAATTGAAATAATTTTAGTAAGATATATATCAAAATCATATATAGAATGTCTGTTTGAACATCGTGCAAATCGCTCTGTGAATCTGACTCATGCTACATTAGATGCAAATAGAAACGAATAGAGGGAGAATATTCATTGAATTTTTGTTCCTAAGCACATTCTATTTTAAAGCCACAGTGCATAGCGATTGAGATCCGTACATTTATTCGAGCATTCGATAACAGAACATTCAAATAGATAATGTGTCAACTCGTTTATGAAAATAAGACAATGCATATAAAATTTATGATTTTCATAAAAGAGCTTAATAATTTATGATATGATATAATCATCAATAGCCATGATAATATTTATAGTTAAGAATATGAAATTATCAAAAGCAACAAGTTGTTAGGACATTGAAAAGCAACTTGTACGGATCATTAAAGGAGCAAAAGACAAGTTGTTATTATAATAATTGGTAAATACGTCAAAGGGATCACACGTTCCAACCTTTTCTCGAAGGCTCTTCTCTGACTCAGGGATCTGAAATGCCATAATTTGTATTCAAAGTCTAAATTTTGAATATTAAATATTATTATGCCAGAGTCACAGTTATTCTTGTTATTTGTTTTTTATTTTTATTTATTGAATCTTTTATCAATAAAATTTTATTATATTATTGACTTACATTTCCATTCTTCATAATATTTGCCACAATGTTGCTGTTTATAAATTTATAAGACAAAAATATCATACAAAAATAAAAAAAATTGAATTTATGATAATAAAAAGACAAAACTAAAGAGAATGAAATAAAAAATGAAAAAAATAATAAATAATCATATACCTTGTTTCTGAGATTTGTTAATTCTGTTCGTAGTTGTTGAGTTGAATCAGATATAGTTAAACCATTTTCTAATTCAGCTAAATCCTTTTGAAGTTGATTCACTTCACGTGCAGACATAGTACTCCATTGATGATATTGCATAATTGCCTAAAATAAAAAGACAATTAACATATATAAATATAAAATATTATAAAAAAGTAAAAAATTTATTTCAGTATATTTCACATATACCTGATTCAATTTATCTAATGTTGGTTCTTCAGTTTGTTTCTCAGGTAACTTTGAGTGAAGATGATGGAGTGATTGCACATGAGCTGCTAATTGCACTATACGTGCAACAAAGGACTGTAATTCATTTTGACTTTTTTCAACTGCATATTGCGATTCTCGTAAATTTTGTGTAAGATGAGCTTTTTCAGATTCTGCTAGTTCTAATTGTTTTTCTAATTTCTTCAGTTCATTTAAATGAATCTCAGAGAATAAATCAACTTGTTTATCAGTAGCAGAAGTACCTGGTTCTTGAGTTTTTAAATCTGCTTCAATTCTACGTAATGCAGGAGAATCATCTTCTCCATCACTACATATAGTTTGATCTTCTGTAATTCCTCGAATTGAAAGCGCAAGATTACTAAGATTATAAATTGATTCACTATTAATTCTTTGATCCAATTCTTTTTTAAGAGCATACTTTGCTTCCCGCTCAGCTTGTAAGGATTCGAGTGCTTCTTCCATTTGCTTTTCAGCAATTTTTTTTAAATTTGTTAATTCTTCAACTTGACTATTTAAAAGTTCCACTTCTTCTGTTAATCTTCTTATTTCGTGTTTAGCACCTTCAAATTCTACTTGACTGGATCGTAAACCAGACACTTGTTTCTGTAATGAAATATTCTCATCTTCCAATTCTGAATAATCTTGTAAAAGTCGAGCTTCACGAAATCTACATTCACGTAACATAGTACGTAAGGATTTTCTTTCTGTTTCTGCTTGCTGATGATCTTTTCCAACTTCCTCTCGTTCTTGTAATGCATGATCACGTTCTGCTTGTACACGTTCTAATTCATGACGTAACTAAATGAAACAATTAAATAAAAATTATATAACATAATAAAATTATTATTTTTATATTTTTTCAAAATATAATACATACTTGTTTTGTTTCATTTTCTAATTCAATAATTTGTGTCTGAAGAGATGTTTCTCTTGCAGCACTTTCATTAAGAAGAGTCTCTTCTTGTTCAATACCACTTTTTGTAGTTAATTTTGTGGTAGTCTGAAATTTTGCTAAAGCCTAAAAAAATATAAAAAATCATTCATATAAGAAACAGTACTATTTAAAAATCAAAATATTTTGATTATATATAATTATATATATTATTATTATATTATTATTATATAATAATTCAGTTTTATTATTGATATTAATAAGCAATCTAAAAAAGAATATAAATTTATTTGTCTTATTAGAATATACAATAATTAATGTCTGGTATATTTATAATTTTTATGATGAATTTTTATGCTAAAAAAATTAAAAATTATATATACTATTAATTATTAAATGTTCAAAAAAAAACTACTAGATAATTTATGTATATTAAAATATAAAAGTTATTTGAACTAACCTCTTGCGTGATTTCCAACTCGTGTTTCGTGTTTTCGTAGAGGGCCTCGAGATCGTTGCATCTTTGTTGTAAAGCAGACTTCTCTTCGAGCAAAGCAAGACCGTATTGAGCAGATTGAATTTTTTCTGTAGAAGCTAAATCTAATTCGCGTGAAAGTCTCTCGATTTCAATCCTGAGCTCCTCTATCGTGATTCCTTCTGTCGTGGCCATTGCTGTATGAACTGATTATTTCCTTTACCGACAGATTCCTTTTCGTCGTTACCACAAATAAATCGGAGCATCGGAGGTCGTAATATATTTTAAACGTCAAGGCATCATGCGAATGTTCGTGATGCAATCTTTTTGGTGTGCCCACTTCCCGAAGTCTCACATCTTCTGAAAATTCACGACCGTTTGACAGACGTGAGATTAAGGTGAGAGGGCACGGGAAACTCACACAGACCGGATACATATTCCTACATATGTTCCATGTTCCTAGATTCTTATTTCGTTATTCCATCGTTCCGTTCTGTTATAATAGTAACACGACATTGTAATTTTTTAGTTACTTATTAAATAACTTTTTAAACAATCCATAACATATATTCATTTTAAATAAATTAAAAAAATAATAATAAACTAAATAAAAATAAATTAAATAAGTAAAACTTATTTAAATCAAATAATAATATATAATATATAAGTTTAATTTCAAATATTCATTTTTCTTCAAAACATCTTCACATCTTCATAGATATGAAAATTTAAATATTATTATAGATAATTGAAAATTATTTTAAACTATATTATTAATGTTTATAATTAATATTATCTAAAAAGATAATTTAAAAAATGTATATAATCTAATAGTTATAGTTGTTACAGTCACTTATCTTTTTGTAATTCAACTTTTTTTTTAAAAAAGAATCATTACTATGTATTATTTCTTGTATAACTACATGAAGTAAGTTAAACACTTAAATAAAGAAATTATTTAAAATATGATAAAAAATGAACAAAATCCAAAATATAACATTTTTACAAAAATATTAAAAAAAATATTGAAATAATTCTAAAAATAATATCTATAAAATAAACTGATAATTATTATTATTATTATTATTATTATTATTATTTATATTTATTTATAGTTATAGATATTAATTAAAATTATGAAAATTTATCAAATATTTAAAAAAAATACTATAATATATACAAAGGATTAACAAACTAAAAAAGAAATTATAGATTTACATTTTATTAATAAGTGATCTCCTCTTTCAACTGAAACATAAATAGTACATGAAGTATATTCGTATATTGTACTACACTTCCTTAGTCATAGGTGCAACAATATAATAGATGATTAGAATCATCTGATAAGCTTTATATGGGGAATAAAAAAGAAAAACAAGATCTCGTCTTTGCCTCTCCGTACACATTCTATTTCAAAAATTCAGTTTAAAAACATAACTTCAAATACTCCGCAATCCTTTATTACTTTGTAGCTTATTTTCTTTTTTTTTTCTTCCTCTTCATCCTCTTCTTCATCTTCTTCCTTTAAGTATTAATAGATTAATATAAGTCGAGCCGTGATCGGCCGTACACGGATCGAATTAGTTCATACACTGTAACAGTCGTATTCTTTACAATATTCATACGTAAGTCTTGTAGCAGAGACAAAAGCGCAGGTGCCCTATTTGCACTCGTTTTTAATGCTCATCTGAACCTCCGGTGCCACCAATGAACCTCACACCTAAATCGTATATCTTCAAGGTATGTTTTTTCTTTCACCGATATCCTACATAGTAAGACATCGATAGTTTTTTTTTCTCTTTTTTGTTTTTTTTTTTTTTTCTTATACGATATATATCATTTATCCGTGTCCATAAATGTTGAAGTCATACAACATATTGATTACAGAAACGAAGAACAAAATTACTTTCATACATGAATTTTACTCGGTTTTTTTTACATCTCATGTATGCAATGAGAGCACCAAAGGTTACGATCCATTAGCGAAATACAATTTTTTGATCCTCCAAATCTCGTCAGACGCACTAGCGCACTGATTACTACTACCAAAATCATGTATGAGATCGGTTTAAGTCCCGAACAATTAAATGTATAAAATGTTACAGGACACCTTTACTATCCGATACATAACGCTCAAGGCGCTTTTTATCAGTTCCACCGAGTCAGGCACGCCTGGCTTCTGAACATTAATACACATTGTCGCTGCTGGTAAAAACATCATCAGTTTTCCTGTATACACGTAATGCACATGACCATGCATGGTCATTTACCACATAATTTCAAAAAAAAAAACATTCTTGAAAAATTGTATAAGTACATGAATAGACATGTGCACAACATGTTCACGTCAAATCTACCTAGACTGAACATAGATCCGTGAACGATCTTAATTTAAATTGAATTGTTCGTTCAGTAGAACGAATTTTCAATCAAAATATCAGGGATTCAATCAATTTATATGCCCTAACATCACTGCTCGCATTTATAAACGGTATTACCGTTCAAATTTAATTGTAGTCTATTTCGCTTATCATTAGACATTTTCATTCATCGCATTCTTTTTTCATTTTTCTTTTTTTAGAAAAAATCTTGCATATCTTTGTACTTGTAATAACATAATAACCTGCTAGTACCACGTTCACAAAGAAATATTTCCAAATTCATTTTCTTTTTTTTTCATTGCCTCATGATCTATAACAAATGTGCTTGATAAGAGAAAAATTACTAGACAAATCGTATCTAAAAATTTCGTTCTACAACTTATAAAAAAGATTAATGTAGTACTTTATACATGAAAATATAATTTGTTCTTTTTTGTGATGTATAAATAAGAGAATCATTGGAATTAGTCACCAGCAACGACCAGAGTATATCTAGCTTTTTACAGTACAAAATACAGCTCCTGCATATATGTATGTATATATGTATACACATATGCGCATATATATATATACATATACCTAGTAACGAAATATTTCACCATATGTAAGGATATAGTAAGGCAAAGTGCATCCTTTGAAAATTCGTAACAATCATTGACAATATGAACAATGGTGATTCCTGATATAACAATTATGATCATACATATAAAATATTCAAACTTGTAGACCTCTGTGTTTATATGTATATATACATATATACGTCATAATGATCGTTGACGATCATACTGATAATTGTATTCATTTTCACTTAAAGAATCTGATATACGAAACATGCATATTTTTCTCTAATTTATAATAATCTAATTAATAATATTCCAAGTATAAGTGTATATAAACTCGCAAATACTGACAATCTTACAATTGTGCAGTTTTTATTGATCTGAAATTAGATTTAGTTATAAAATAAAAAATCCTCATTACATCCTTACACATTAAAAATTGGCGTTACTAAACCTTACTTATATATATTCAGGGCCGGCATGTTCATTTCCTTTCCCATTACTTCTGAACTTTTTTCAACTCGAGTTGCTAGAGAGTTCGAGAGGGAGGACCGGATACAAGATGCGTGGATGTGAGAAAGGAATATAAATTAAATTTATTATAATTTTTTTTTGTATTCGTTATTATATCCCTTTCTTTTATCAAACAATCATCCATTCATAATTTAATGGACTAATAATTTTTTTATTTGAATATGAATTATTAACAAATATCTCAAATCCCATTAGTCAAAGCTGACAAAATATGTTATAAATGTTACATTTGTAAAATTTTTTTATGAAATATATTAATAATCCATACATCTTGCATCACAAAACAATACATGTACGAGATAGTTTGAAGGTCAGGGGACAGAGGATTCATGTCTCTACTCTAATTCAATTGAATGTTTATAATATTATTACATCGTATAGTGTGTAATGCTGGATGTGTCCTATGTGTAAATGTACTTTGTGCGCGCGCACGCATGTATAGTGTAATGTAACAGCAATTAAAAAAAAAAACAAAGACATCATAAGAAAAAACCCTTGCGAAGAGAACAACGACATGTAGAAGGGAAGGGAAACTAGGAGTAAAATGGGTTTCCGAGAGTTGGATATGGGGGAGAGATGGAAATTCGAACGACTATGACAAAACGCATTTTTAGCAATTATACGCATCAACGAGACATACGTTCGCACATCCCTACCTAGCTACAATCCCCGGTAGTAGCGCGCGCGACGGTAAACGGCTTATCGTTAAGCGAGCGGCACGGATTCCGGTTATCTCCTACTTTCTGTCGTCCTGATCACATTCACGGCTTAAATGACCAGTCTTGCCACAAGTATAGCATGCCTTTCCTCCGACTTCAGTGCAATTTCGAGCAAAATGACCTGTTTTATTACAATTGTAGCAACTTTGCATTCCAAAACGTCCAGAATCATTACCACCTTCTGGACAGCTACGTGCCATATGACCAGTCTTGTTACAGTTATAACAGCTCATCTCAGGCCCCTGTTAAAAACACTCTAGGTCATGACATTATTTTATTATCAATATATTGCACAAAACTTTGCAATATATTAATATAAAATATAAAATAAAAAAGATTATATTAAATATTGATAAAGCAAAATAAATATATTAAATATATTAAAATTTAAAATTTAATATATATGTTAATTAAATAAAATTTAATATATATGTTAAATTATGCATTAGAATTATAATAACCTGTTGACAGTCTTTTGCAATGTGCCCTACACCTTGGCAGCGATAGCAAAGATCTTGATCTTCTTTACATTCTCGTGCAAAGTGTCCAAATTGGTTACACTTGTAGCACTTGTCGCGACCACGCGCAAAACCACCTTCTCGGTCACGGCCACGATCGCCTCTACCACCACCTCCACCACCTTGTGGACACTCCCGTGCATAGTGACCCATCCGGTTACATTTATAACACGCACTTGAACTCATTTTTTATAAATCTACAACAAAAATAATCAACATATTATACATACTTTATAGCATAAAGACATGCATACATGATTTGATATTGAAAGTTTTTAAATTATATTAATAAATTCAATTTAAATCCATAAACAAATAATTTAAAAAAAAAAATTAGAATTTCTCTGTTTCTTATTACTTTGCTTTTTACATTTATAAATATATAAATATAATTGAATGTAAAATAAACTGGCATAATTTTAATACTTTCATATTATGAAAAAAATTAAAAATAGAATAAAAAAAAGTTTTATAAATTGCTGATTATAAAATTAATGCAATCATTCAAGACTATATATTTATAATGACAATATTTTCATTTTTAATATTACAAGTTAAATAATATATAAATTATAATATATAAAATAGTGTATACTAAAATAAATAACAGATTAAAATATAATACTCTAAGATCTGAAATATTTGAATACTCTGAAACTTCACAGTATTAAATAATCATTAATAAGTGATAAAATAGTATTTACAATTCACAAGTACATATTTAACAATGAATAATAATAACTTTAAAATATTATTTAAAATAAAACAAAAAATGAAATTTAGAAAACAAAATATTGTGATTGAAAAGATTTAAAAGAAAGTTATGAAAAAAAAAAAAAAATTAAAAAAATGAAAAAATTCAAAAATATATTTTTTATTTTAGATCTGCAAACTATAACAAAATTGCAAAATATGCAATTGGTAAAATATATCATAGAATATAATAAACTATTTTAAATAACAATATATATAAAATGGCATCATGTATCCAATCCATTTCTACTAGGAGTATGTAGAATACACGTGTTTGAGAAAAGCGTCGTGCACATGAAAGTTGTTTCTATTTAAAAATATTAACAACACATCAACATTTTACTAGAAAAGTAATATTCAAATCATTATGTACAAAACCCTCAGAAATCGCCGTCTATCGTACAACGTGGCTCTCTTGCCCCCACTTTGCAGTGGTGGTACGCAAGTACGCCACGGCGCGAAGATGGCATCCAAGACTGACGCCGTACTGCGCTTTTTTTGCCTCGCTAAAGAAAAGATCGTCGAGGGGCGAGGTATACATATACGATAAAACATAAAAACTATCGTATTAAGTGGTAAAAAGAAATTTCCTCCGTGATACAGGCAGATGAAATAAAATCTTCATTTACTGCAGAATAAAAAATTAAACCAACGAAGTCGAGGACCACGTGTGGAATCGCACAGAAAGAACCGCGGACCCGTTATCGCGACATATAGGAACATTCTTTAGAGACGACATAGCGACTTACCTCTGGTGCTTGATGGAAACGCACAATAAATCCTCCTTTCGTTGGCTTTGCCGACACGTCAGGGACAATAGGTCCGCGGGAAGTACTGTTTTCCTGGGAAAACTCGAACCGATACTCAGCCGAATGACTGCGGCGACCATTGACTACGGAAAAGAAGACCAACCAATCGCCGTTATGTTGCCCGCCAAACTCCGTTGCAATAATGAACGCCACCTCTCCTTCTGCGGCTATTGAATCGACTAACCGATTTAAATCGAAAATTGTTAATTTTTTCTAATGAAATTCTATCCTTTTATATTTTATATAATATATTAATTGTTTATTAAAATATCATGGTTTTATTGATACATTAATTAATACTGAAATGAGAGAAAACAATATTATTTTGAGAATATTGATGATCAACCTCAACAGCTATTGGTTCAATATCATCGAATCTGTTTTGATAACTCATTTCAACCAATCATATTACACTTGGAATGCATTAAAATTTAATTTGAAAAAAATTCGTGTAAAGTGCGAACCTCTATATGTATTAAAAAATGATGAAATAAAATCGATCATAAAAATAGAATTATAATTATGATATATTATCATTAATATATTATATGAAAAGAAACACTTTATAATAAAAATAAACAATAATTTAGATTTAGCTTAATATTTCATGTGTATAATCATTATACTAATAAATATATTTGTCGCTTATTGGAAAGTGTAATTTATAAATCTCATATATATATATATTCCTATAGAACAAGAAAATAACAAATTTTAGGTGTTTAAAGATTAATAGCGTAAATATCTTATATAATGATTATTAAAAAATGATAAAAAATTTATCATTGATAATTATTAATTATAAATAAAATATATTATCTTGATTTTTTTACATACATGTATAAATTTATTATTGTTAGAATAAAAATATTAATTGTATAAAAATTGAATAAAAATAAATAATATTTTCTATTACATATATTAATTTTTTCAATTTATTTATATATAAATTATTTATAAATATTATATTTAGAAATAATTAATAATATTTGATATAATCGTTTCTCAGTTATTAAATTATAATTATTGTAATATTTAATTTAATATTACTTTATAATAATAATGCTAATAATATCTATTATTTATTTTAAAAAAATTAACTTAGAAGTACCATTTAAAATAATTTACTTTTCTGCTAAATACATTCTATATAATTATCAATATATAATGCATATATAAATTTTTTTTTCATATGTTTTTTTTAAATTTTTAAAATTTTTTAATGTTTATTTTCTAATATTTATAAGTATAACCTATAATTTTTATATTTTTGTTTCATTTTCATTCTTTAATTATGACTTGAAGTTATTAAGACTTGAAGTTAGATATTTTTAATTCTACATATATATTTCTAATATAAACAATTGCATGAAAAATTTGCTATGAATATTAGCCTTTAACGATTTTCAATTGACATAAAACATATAAAATGATATCATTTCTTAAAAATTATTTTTTTTTAAAAATCACATATTTTTTTTAAAAATTATGTGATTTCATATATGTTGAAAAATATTTGTATAGTATTGAAACAAATAAGCATATGCACTACGTGAAACGTTAAAATATTTGAATAGTTTGAATTTCTAAAAATTAATAATTAAAGAAATTATATTTTTAATCTTAATTATAGAATTAAATAATATATATTTTAAATCTTTAAACTAAATTTTTAATATATAATTCTAGTAGAATTTTAGTAATACATAATAATTTGAGGTTAAGTGTAGCATGTTTTAATAAATAAGTATATTCATGAAATACAAAAATTAAACACAATGTCTCTTTACGATGATTTTGATAAACATCGAACATCAGAAAAAGTAGCTGGATGGTCATCCAGTATTAAATTATTACAATCTCAATTACAGTTAAAAAAAGCCGCGACTACACAGGTATGTTCTTTACAATATATAATACTGAATTATGAATTATTATTATATTTTATATTTAGCCGAAACGTGAACAATATAGAAAGGCAACAGCGGTGCTAGCACCTGTAATAGACTTAAAATCAAAAGCTAATAGAAATGCAGATAGAGATGATGAGGGTCCACATAATAATCCACTTTCATCTGGTACTGTTAGTAGTATTGGAGTAGGTGGTGAATTTGATTGGAATGTAATAAATGAATATGATCCTATGTGGCCTAATGAATATGATAAAGTTGTCAAAGAATTAAGAGATTTACGTGATAGAGAACATGATCAAGAGACTGAAATGCGTAAACGCAGACGGGACAGTTCACGTTTTGAAGATACACAGGTAATATTTATTATAATTCTTCTATATTTATTATAATTCTTCTACAACCTGATTAATAATATTTGATATAATCGTTATATATATATATATAATATAAATATAAGAAGAATAATAAGAATAATAATAGAAATATAAGAATATAAAAATATATATTTAAATTAAAAATATTTTATTCGAAAATGTATAATTTAACTTTTTAATGAATAATGAAAATATTTGCTTTAGACTTCTTCTGGAAATAGTACAATGATCCCTCCTGAAAGAGATGAGGAGAGAACTCCCACATCAAGAGGAATTGCAGGAGGAGCAGCTATAGCTCCACCACCTTCTTTACAAGAATCTTCTGATCTTCCACCTCCAGCACCAAGACCTCCAACTAGCATGGGATATGCTACATCATCAGTAGCAGCAAAAATAATGGCCAAATATGGTTTCAAAGAAGGACAAGGACTTGGTAAGAAAGAACAAGGAATGTCTGTTGCTTTACAAGTAGAAAAAACCAGTAAACGAGGTGGAAGAATTGTTGGAGAAAGAGAACAACTTATGCCACCACCACCACCTGTTGCTGCTTCTCCACCTCCACAACAACAAATTATTCCTCCACAACCTTCAGAAGAACCTAGTATTACAGAAATAATGAAATGTCCAAGTAAGGTAAGGAAAAGATTTAATATTTTAATAATATTTAAAATTTAAATTTATAGCACACAATATATTATAAGAATAATAATTCATAATAAAGTTTATAATTATGTAATAAATATTAATTATACAATAGATATCAATAGTTAAATATAATAATAATTTATTATATATTAGATATTCATTATAATTATAATTAATAGAAATGAAAATAAAAATAATATTTCATAAAATATAATATATATATTGGAAATTTTTCATTAAAAAAATATATTAAAATATATTCAAAAAATTATTATTAATCAGGTTGTATTATTGCGTAACATGGTTGGTCCTGGAGAAGTGGATGATGATCTTGAACCTGAAGTTAAAGATGAATGTAATACAAAATACGGCGATGTTGCGCGTGTCATTATCCATGAAGTAACAGAAGCTGCTCCAGAAGAAGCTGTTAGAATCTTTGTGGAATTTAAAAGAATAGAAAGTGCTATTAAAGCTGTAGTTGATTTAAATGGACGTTTTTTTGGTGGAAGACAAGTTAAAGCAGGTTTTTATTCCAGTGAAAAACTTGATAGTTTACAATTAATGGATTAATTTCTTATTTAATAATTTCATTTAATAAATGCATCTTAACAAATACAACAATATGCAATCAATGTGTTGATTATTGTGTTAAAAACATATCTTGCAATTTTATTAAAAGAATATAATAATATGATAAATTCTGATTATTTAACATAAAGAGAAAACAAAAAATATAAAAATATTTGCATAATATTCAATACATTGAAAAACATTTCAATTTATAACCTTATTAGTTAAATAGGGTAATAATAATTTAAACCTTTCTCTATATAATAAAAGCATTGATATATTGTTTTTCTAATTTTAATATAAATTGTATGCACAATATAAGTAATAAATAACTACAATTTATAATCTTATAAAATACTAATATTTCAGTAATAAAAAAGAATAATATAAATAATATAAAGAAATATGATTTTTTTTTATGATGAAATAAATATGAGATAAAAATAAAATAATGATTATGCTAATAAATATAATTATAATATATAAATAATTTAATAAATTATAATTATATTGTAACTTATTTATATAAATTACATATTAAAAATTTGATATTTAATTGCAATTAATATAATAAATATATCTTGTTAAGAAATTGGAGTTTATAAATTCGATTCTTAATTTTTTATTAATATTTTCTTATCACAGTTTATATTATATAAAATATATAATAAAATTATAATTCAATTTTTGTTGTAAAAATCTAATAATTATTACTTTATTTTTTTATTGCTTATTAAATCTTCAATTGCTTTGTTTAACTGAGCATTAAATGCAGCAAAACTAAAAGTTTTTATAAATCTATCTTTACCTGCATTTCCAAATTCTTGAATATATTCTGGATTTTTAATTAAATAAGCTATTTTTGAAGCAAATGCATTACCAGATAAATCAACCAAAAATCCAGTAACTCCAGAAATTATAGATTCTTTTGGCCCACCAGAATTATGTGCAATTACTGGTTTACTCATATACATTGCTTCAAGTGGTACAATACCAAAATGTTCATTTGGAGGTGTGTATAATATAATTTTACAATGATATAAAATAGATATTTTATCAATATCTGAAGGAGATCGAAGAAATATTACTTTTTCTGTTACATGTAATTCATCAACAAGTCCTATTAATTCCAAGTAATATTCTACATTTTCTTCAACTCTTTTATCATATCCACCAGCTATAATTAAATATACTTTTTTATATTCTTCTTCTGTCAAATATTTTTGAAGTTCTGCCAATGCTTCTATTGTTAGTTCTAATTTTTTTTTACGTTCATATCTGTTAATAGACAATAATATAATACTATCTGATGGCAATTTTTTATCAAATATTCTTTCTAAGGATATTATTCGAGTTTTATCAAAAAAGTCAGTGTTAATAGAAGGATATAAAACTTCAGGTTCAATACATAATTTCTTAAAAGTATGTTTAAACACAGAAAGTGTATATATGCTATTTACAAATATTTTATGTGCCATTCCAGTTGTTAATTCTTCTAAATAATTAAGAGGTGCACGATATAATTGTTTACTAATTCCTTTTGATTGTGAAAGCAACTGATCTGGATAATGACAATAAAAAATTATATATGGAATTCGTAATCGAAGAATAGGGATGCATACAGAAACTAAATCACAGAATACAATATCTGGTCGATGTTCACAAAAAATGATATAACTAGCTGCATATATCTAGAAAAAATATAGTACAATATATGAATAATATAATTTATAAACACATGTCAAAATTTAACAAATAAACTCACCATACGAATATAAGCAAAAAGTGCAAAAAATCTACCAAAAACATGTCTAGGTAACCAATTTCCCACAACTGTAACAGGAATTGTTCCATCTTTTGTTTCAGAAAAACAATGTTCAGGGTCGTGATGAGTTGTCACGAAATTAACCTCATATCCTTCTTTTTTTAAAGCTAATGCAGCATCTATTACTAATCTTTCTGCTCCTCCAATACCAAGATCTGGATGAAGAAATGTAATTCGCGTCATTCTTATTAATTTAACGACATCAATAACGATAATTATCAACAATGAATTAAAATGTTACGAATTACGATATCACGATCTACGATATCACTGGTCAATAGCGTAGTAAAAGTAAGTAGCAATAATAATATTTAGTAGAGTTTTTTCTCATTAGATTTTTGTTATCAAATTAAAAATGAATATCATCTGATTATCGATCATTATAATGCTTATTTTCGCGTCGCCTTATTATCTTATTTATTTTTTTTTATTATGCATTTTTGATATATCTTTTGCATTTCCTATGCATTTTTGTCATCTTCGTTTTTGTGACGTGGAAAATGAGCATTAAAGTAATCGATAATCAAATATTTATTTTCAATTGGACAAGAGAACAAAGAAAAAAGACTCTTAGTTCGTTAAAATTTATTTTCAAAGCAATCTAAATATGTTACTTCATCATAAAATTATACAAATTATTAAAAAAAATTAGTTAAATATTTTATAAAGTTATATATAAATAAATAAGTAAGTATTGTACAAAGCATAGATATTATATTATAAAGATATATAAAAATCATATTCAGCAAGTATATTTTAGTTAAAATAATTTATTGATAACAAAAGAAAATCAAAATTTTGGTAATCTTTTGTAAAATAAATAAGAGATGAACAACAATTCAATTTTAGTAATATTTAAATATTTACTGTTAATTATGCCAAATGTCACAAAGAATATTCTTATGGAAAATACAAAAAAACGCTTAAAAGAATTATTTTGTTTAATGGATAGTGATATTGATGGTTATTTAGATTACTATGAAATGAAAGCTGCATTAAAAGCTTTAGGTTTCCCAGTAAAAAAATCTTATATTTTAACCATAATACGAATGTACGACAAGCGTGGTTATAATAAAATTTGTTTTAATGATTTTTATTATGTTGGTGTGTTTAACAAAAAATATTAAATTTAATGAAATAATGTTTTATTTATTATATTTTTAAAGAAATTAACATACTTAATATATATAATAATATTTAAAATTCTTTGTAATGTCTTATTTAAATTTTAATATTTATTCAGTAACAGAAATGTTAATTAAGCGGAATCCTATAGATGAAATTAAATATGTTTTTAAGTTATTTATAAACAAATCTTCAATCAATAAAATAACATTGGAAGATTTACAGAAATTTAATCAAAAACTTAAATGTAATCTAATTAATGAAGAAATGGAACTTATGATAAAAGAATTTGATTTGGATCAAGATGGTTCTAGTAAAAAGATCTTTTATTTTAGATTAATTATATTGATAAAATTTTCATTTAATATCATAACATTTATTTGCATTTTGTATTATAACTAACAAACTTACAAATTATATTTATAAATTATAATTTCAGTTGATCAAAGTGAATTTATGGATATTATGATGGATTTTACAATTTAAATAACTTTTGTTTTCTTATTGTAAACATATTTATAAATAATCATCACAATGAATTTTGGAATTAATTGGGAAGAAGAACATAGACAAACATTATTAGAAGGAAATGCAACATTGGAACGATCTTCACAATCTATTAGCAGATCTCAAGCAATTGCAATTGAAAGTGAACAAATAGGAACTGAGGTAATTTCTGAATTGAGTAGACAAGGAGAACAATTATTACGAACAGAAAGAAGATTATCACAAACAGATGAAGAATTAGATAAAACAAGAAGAATATTAAATATTATGAGACGTAGAGTTTTATTAAATAAATTTGTATTAATCTTAATTATATTATTAGAAGTAGCCATACTTGGTATTATTATATATAAAAAATATATAAAAATATTGTAAATATATATATGTTAAAATAATATATATTTTATATTTTATATATAGTATAAATAATATAAATATTCTATAAATACTTATTTTTATTTAAATCCTATGTAATATGTAATAAATTATTAATATAGTAAAAAAATATATATATGAATAAATAAATAAGAATACATATAAATTTCATTTAATTTTGTATTTTAATTTATATATTTTAATGAATTGTTTATAAAATAATAAAAATATAACATTGATATGATAAATTGATACAACATATGATATTAATACGATAAATTGGTAAAAAAACATTTTATTCTGAAGTATGATATTAAATAAGAATTACCAACTATATATAATAATTATAATATATTATCAAATGTATATAAAATAATCATCTCTAATTTTTATTATATTATAATGTTTTATCAAAATATATATTAATATACTAAAAATAATAGAAGAGCATTATTTTCATTTTTATTGAACAAATAATAAATTTTGTATTTTCAGAGAATGTTGACATTCATTTTTAATGTTGTCAGCACATAAACGATCAAAGCGTAGCATAACATAATTATCTTGAACTATCATGTAGTGCATAGTTAATGTTGAATCAAATACTTAACAATTATCGACGGGGCAATAGAGAAAATTAGAACAACTAAAGGCGAAAAGAATCTTTAGCATTTTGTGAATTAATATATGATCAGGTCATGGCGTATGTTAATGTCGCTGAATGGAAAACTGAGCAAGTGTGCGAATGGTTGAAAGGTGTGAAAAATCGAATTTTCTTTGAAATCAGAATATTTACTGATATATTTTCAGAAACAAATTTATTATTTGCAAATATAACGGATCGAAAATTGCGTGTGAAACGTTTACAGTATACGCCCGCATCCCTTTTGTCTCTTTCTTTTTAATCAATCATTTTAGTTCATGTGTAAAATAATTAATTGATTTAATCACATAATTTTGTACATTTTTATGTACAAAAAATCTTTAATGACATTCAATTTTTTCTAAAAGTATTTCATAACTATAGTAATATTATTTAAATATTCTATAATTTCTAAATTTACATTAATATTTATGAATTTTTAATTATTATTAATTTCAAAATAAATAAAATAAAAGAATAAAATTATACAATTATATGAATAATTATTAAAGACAAAAATATAAATTACTTTTTTTCTATAATTTTATGATTTATTTAAATTCATTTATTATTAATTAAGATATTGCTGTTTCATACTTTCATAGTTTTTTTAAGTTTTTTTATAGTTTTTTCATACTTTTATAATTTTTTTAAAAAATGGTTCTTATTTTAGGTTTAGATAATTCTGTTCTTCCATATGTGCATAGCTTTACAAATCATAGTGTCAATGGACAACAATTATTAAGTTTGAGACCTGAAGATCTAGAACATCTTGGAGTATTAAAACTTGGTCATCAAGAAATTATTCTTGAAGCTGTAGAATATTTAAGAAATTTTCATTATGAACTTGATCGTGAAAATCTTCAATTATTGGCATTGCGGTTGTCTTGTCAAGCACATAGTTTACAAAATGAATTATCTCGCCAAACAGATTCTAAACCTGTTACAACTCAAACATTATCAGATGTAGCATCAGTTATAATGGCTGTAAAACCATTAATAAGATGGCTTGATCGATCTCCCTTTAGTGGACAATTGGAATATAATGAAAAAAAAGTTGAATTAATGAAACTAGCTTTAGAAATGGCTACATGTGCACAAAGAGATAGATTTGCAGAAAAACCAATAGAAGAAATTAGAACAACTTGTGGACAATTAGCAAAATTGGCAGATTATATAATACAAGATATTTCTGATCCTATGATATTACAACCTGCTAGTTTAGATTTAGCAACATTAAAAAAAAGGCCAGGAGATGATTTAGTAAGTTTAATATAAAATTAATAATTTTCTTTTATTTTATTTTTAGATATATTTATAATTAATGATACAATAAATAATATATATAAAATATATATTAAATATTTAACATAAATCATAAAATAACATATTTTATAATCATTATAGAAAAAATTATCTGTTACATCCTTTATTAATAAAAGTATAATTATTCATTCAACACTTAACTTCTTATTTAGATAAATGTTTTGTATCATACAGTAAAGATATTGTAAAAATAATAACTTTTATAATAAGTATAAAAAATCAAAATTGAAAATTATTTTATTTTGTAGGGATTTTATATTTTACCATCTTTTCATGGAGCTCATCAGATTGCTGAAATTAAATTTGGATCAGCTGCACATCAATGTGGTAAAATGGAAGAAGGAGATGAAATTGTTCAAGTGATTTTTCTTTTTCTCAATTAAATTTTTATTTTTTTTTTAAATAATTTTAAATAATAATTTTAAATAATTTAAATATATAATTTAATTCAAATATATTTCAGGTAAATTATCAGACTGTAGTTGGTTGGGAACGAAAAAATCTTTTAGAATTATTTCGTGAAAGTCCTGCAGAAATATTATTAACATTAAAACGTAGACCAAGACACACAAAAGTATATGGTCAAATTTACATAAAACCATATCGACTTCCAAGCAATAAAAAAATATCTTATACTACACGATGGCAACACAATCTTCCTTCACCAAGACCAGAATTATTAACTATACCAGATTTTACAATGCCATTACCAAGGTTATTTATACTCATGTATATATTTATATTTTTATAAAAATATGAAATTTAATTTTTAATATAAATTTTTTAATTTTTTTAGGCCAAAGAATTCCAGGCCAGAACCTACAAATATTTTAGATACTGTTAATATTTTAGACACAATGATCATAGATAGTAGTGACTCAGATAGTGAAACAGAACCACCTTTGTCTATTCGATTATATTCTACAAAACCAAGAAATTCAGTTCAAAGACGAGCTACTATAACTGGTGCTAGTCCTACTACTAAACATGGAATTGATATAGAACAATTTTGGAAAGAATTGAAACAAGAACATAATACAAGTTCTCAATTACGGGATAAAGCAGCATCTTGTGCTCATGGTTTAGATAATGTACCATCAACTATACGATCACAAACGTGTATAAATATAGAACAAAACAAAAGAAAAAAGAAAAATGAGGGACAAAATGATGATAAGAAAATACAATTTCAAGATAAATCTATGAAACATGATGTTTCTCAAATAGGTAATACTATCAATTTAATTCATGAAAAAAAAGATACATGTAAAATTATTCAAGAAGAATTATGTAGTAATATAAATATATCCAAACAAATTTCTCAAATGCCTGTTAATGTTACCAATAACAATAACTTGAGTGATACAAATGTGCCTTTAGACGAATGCAACAATTTTATTAGGGATAAACATAGTAATACTAAAAATACAGTAAGCAGTAAAGAACTTAATATAAATAGTGGTAAAGAGAGAGGAAAATTAGATAAAAGTTATAGTACACCAGCATATGATTCAATGGATGTTGACAATATAGAAGATAGAAAGCAAAAATTATTTTATGCATTAGAATTATCTACAAATAATGTAAGCAATGAATTAAATAAGACTGATGTACAATTGTCTTCTGCAAATTTCGAAGATCAACAAAAATTAGAAGATATTGGTGATCAAAAACAAAGTATTCAAATAAATTTTGATAATAATATTCAAAAAAATAGTAATATTGATAAATATATTATGCAAGATAATGAAGAAAAAGAATGTTCTGAAAAATCATCTGAATATTCAATTCCTATATATAAAATAATTACAAATCATGAAATCAGTATAGAAAATAACCAAAGCAATAATGAATATATTAACACTGAAGTAAATAAATATGATAAAAATATTACAAAGAATTTGACTGAAGCAGGGAACATGTCAGTAATATATAACACTGAAATTTTTGCAAATTCAAGTTTAAATCATAAAAACGAAGATAAAGTAGAATCAATAAATAATTTTATAGAAAATAATAATCAAAATAGTAATTCAAATTTAAATAAATTTGGAAAAATTCATCAAATGTTTAATGGATCAAATCATTGTGCTTCAATAGAACATATGAAATTAATGGAAAAAAAACCTAATACATTATTAAAAGAAAATATTCAAACTCGTGGACAAATATGTACAAATAATGATCTGAATACTACAGAAGATAATACAAAAATTTATAATAATATTACTCAAAACATTCCTCATATTCATTTTTGTCAAAAAATACAAAATGATAATGTAAAAGCTGAAAATTTAATTATTCAAGAAAATGCAATACAATCTTGTGTAGAACTAAAAAGTGAATGTAATAAGAAATTAGAAGCTAGATCTCATTTAATACCTCCAGATCCACCACCACGTAAATATTATTCAAAATTAGCAGTGGATACATCTATAACTAATACTTCAAAGATATGTGAAAATTATGAAAAATATATATCAGAAAATTGTAATGTTAAAAAAGACTTAAGAAATGCAGAATATTTTATGGAAAATCATATCAAAAATAATTTATTAGATCAAGATAGACAAAATTATTTTGATGCTTGTAATAATTTTACAGAAAAATTAGAATTTATTGATGATACTTCAGATAATGAACTTAGAACTAATTTAGATTCTATATATTTAGAAAACAATGATAAGCAAGTAAAAGAAACTAAGTTTATCTGTGATAAGTATGAACCTACTATTGAGAAATCTATATATACTAATTCAACAATGGAATATTATAATAATACTGAGTGTTATTCTCAAAATATGGATTCACCAGATGGTTCATGTTCTTCAAAGCAATTTTTAGATCATAAATCTAAAGTATTTGAGAAAGAAAAAAGTTTTGAAAAAGGTGTAGTTAATAAAGCTATGATGGTAGCCAGAAGTATTGGATTACATGGAAGTTTAAGTAAATCTTCAAGTAATAGTCCAAGAAGTAATAGAAAACGAAGCATATTATTTGCAAGTAATTAATTTATAATACATATTTAATAAATATATATTAATTTTTAAATACTTATTAATTTTTATATCATTTTTTAATTAGGGAAAAGAAATATTTCTGTTAAAGATATAGGCACAGGTGATTTAGAAGGATGGTTAACATATCGTACAAGAGGAGCAGGTGGTGCTTGGGCAAAAGCTTGGTTTGTTTTAAAATGTTCTTCATTATATAGGTTTGTTAATAATAATAAATTTTTAAATTTATACATTTTTTTTTACAAATATTTATTTAATTTCATTTTTAATATAGGTTTAAGGCACGAAACAGTATAAAAGCAGACTGTCTCATAGCTTTAACCGGATTTACTGTATCACGAGCTGCTGAAGTAAAATCAAGAAAATATGCGTTTAAAGTTTATCATACAGGAACAGTATTTTATTTTGCTGCAGATACTGAAGACTTTCTCGCCTTATGGGTAGATGCAATTAATAAAGCAACTTTAGGTGCGGATAGTCACAATAGAAGTAGTGCTCTTTTCAGCGAAACAGATGAAAGTGACTGTGAACAAAAAAGTAAAGTTAAAAATGTTCATACTACGGAACATAAACCAAATTTCGAAAAACCATTTGGATCATTAAAAAAAGTTGTTCGTAAAGATTGTTCTATATATAAGGATCATGAAATCAATGGTGCTAGTTTAGATAGAAAATATTTGAAATTTCTTGGTACAAGAAATCACAATGTACCTGTTCCAACTGCACAATTTAGAAGTTATAGAAGAGTTCTTCCTACATCTATACCTAATAAGTAAGATCATTTAATATGAAATATTTTATTTAAAATAGAGATAAAATATGAATTTTTTTTTTTAGAAAACAAGATTCTGTTCCAAATTCGCCAGATTTACAAATGACAATAGCAGGAAGTACATTTTATGGATTATATGCATCTCATAGTACAACCGATATATCAAATAATATTCAAGATATGAATGATTATAGACGTACCACAGACAGGTAACAGTTTGTTGCATGCTCTAAAACTAATATAATCTTATGTGTTAAACATGTGATATATAAGTTTTAAAAATTCTATTAAACTTAAATTATTATATTCATTTATTTTTATGAACATATAGAAATGAATTTTTAATTAAAAAATAATAACAATTGAAAATATTGTGATATTTTATTCTATAATAAAATAATTAAATAAAGAAAGATATTGATTGAATTTATTTTATATGTATATATTTTGTGCATGTTTTCCTTATTTTAACTATTTTCCTATACACTATCCTTAATTAATTTAGAGCATGTTTTTTAAACATTCATATATATATATATATATATATATATGATTGTAACAAAGTATATATATATATATATATATATGTATAAAATTTTTTATCATATTAAATTTGATAAAATAAATTATATTTAATAATTAAAAATAAAATAAATATTTAATATTCAGGTGTCTCAATAACAAAAATAGAAGACCAGAAGATGTGCAAGGTATCATTACATTAGAAGAATTTATGTTGCTACCACAAGAAGATCAAAGACAAGTTGCTAGAACAAGAGCTGCATCACCACGAGTGACACCTTTAACTAATGATCATGTTCATATTCAGCATAGAAATTTTCATGATAATGAGACAATTAATGAACAAAGTAAAATTGTTGCTGATGGAAATTTCAATAATGATGTTCATACTCGAAATAAAAATAATGATGAAGTAATGATGAATACTGTTTTGTATGATTATTCACGAAATATGGACAATATTCACACAATGCGGCAATTTAGCGGAGATTTAGATTCAAAAAAAAGCGAATATAAAGAAGAATTATCAAAATCAGTTCATAAAAAATCAAATGAACTTTGTTATATTGACAAAAAAAAATTGTCAGATGGATTAAAGTTTCAGCAAATGAAATCATATAATTCAATTCATTGTAAAACTACTACAGATGAACGACAAATAACATCTTTGAGTCATAATAAATCAGATACTATCGATAGATCTAAGAGACAAGTGAGCTTGACTTGCGAATATAATACTAATATTTATATAAATCAAGCACAATCTTCAAGTAATCATGATATTTCTAGATCGTATGATTATTATTTGCCAAAAAATATCAATAATTTATCAGAAGATGTAAAACCAACATCAAGATCACTCACTCAAAATAATGGTAAATTTTATCACTTATATAATAATTATTTTATATATATTGTAAGATTAATATTATTATTTTTTTTTTTTAGATTCATCTGAATCTAATAACGATTTTACGTTTCATACTTTTTATCAAACTTTACAACGCGGAAAAAAAAATGTATCCGTTAGTCGCAAAGGAAGTTTCAACCTAACAATTCGACGTGATCATATTTCTTCAGATAAGCATTGGTTAGACTCTTTACGACGAGTTGATAAAAAGAACATTAATTATGACAAAATCCGTTTAAAAAATGTAGCTCAGTATCAACCTCCTCCTATACCAACTTCTCCGTTCGAACAAGAAGGAATGACTGCTGCATTTGAAATGCACTTAGATAAAAGTGAACAAGTTCAAAAAACAAATCGTTTGAAAAATTTATTTAGTAATAAATATCAGCAAAAATCATCTACATTTGATTTACCTAAGGAAACACAAAAAACCTTATTAGGTAAATAAATAATATATATAATTATATATTATATTATATAATAATTATAAATTTCAATTATAAAAATTATAATATAATATATATTATTTATAGGATCACCAAAATTACATAGAGCTTTATTTAGAGAAAAATGTTATAATCAATCAAGCCAATCAACAAATCATTCAAATAATCAGAATGCTAATGATAGTGGACTCAACCAATTAGTTAATCCTTTCAATGGAAATAATTCTCATACTCTCAGTCAAAGTTTTAGTTCAGTTAGTTCAGTTAATGATTGGAGTTCAGACACATCTTCATTATGTACTGCAAATTTAATATCAAAAGTATGTAATTTAAATAAATATAGTAAATATTATATTAATAATTATAACGATATATTAAAATATAAATATTTATTTTTAGGATAATGCAACTCAATCTTTTCAAAAAGAATATATAAATAGAAACTCATTAATACCACCGACGTTACCTTATATACCACCACCTACGTCACCACCGCCTGATTATCCTGGTCTTGAATATCCGCCAGTGTTTGAACCTGGTACTTATTCTCTTTTGGATGCATCATTATTACGTAATCGTAATAAAAGCAATCGAAACATTCATTAACCAATGATACAACTTAGTTCATTATTCTATATAATAACCAAAGATAATATTTCCTTTATCATTTATGTTTTAATCAGATATTTTATAAATATTTTATATAAAACATTTAAAATATATTAATATTTTTTTAAGTATTATATAAAATTTAACCGTCCATTTTATAAACATTTGAAAATTATCAAATCATGTTTTTATATAATTAAAATTATAAATCATTCACTCATTAATATAAACAAAATAATAATCGTAAAAATGATTAAAATTTGTTTAATAAATAATATAAACACAATTTGAATTAAATTAAATTAAAAGAAATTCAATTTTATTATTATTATTTATAATTGTTGATAAATTAATAAGTTGAAATTTCTTATATTCTTCAAAACTATATATATATATATTTATATGAATTATAAAATCTTACAATAATTAAAAGATAAATAAGTTCAAATATAAAATATTATTATATAACTTTCTATATAAAAGATTATAATAAAACAATAATAATATTAATTGATAAAAAACTGAATAAAAACAAATAAGAATTGTAAGAATATTGTTTATAAATATTTACAATAACAAATTTTTTAATTTTATATAAAAAAAAAAGGTTATATATTATTTTATGTATATAGTGAAAGTTTTAAATTTTTAAATTTATTTAGAAAACTTATAGAAGTGCTTTTAAATTTTATTAAATTTTATGCAAATAATATAACAAAATTGTATTATATTCTTTTATGTATATATTTTATAAATACTTTTATATATATATTAAATCAGTTTATATATGTATATATATATTAAGTATTTGTATATGTATATATAATATTATATAAAGTCATGTCATTAGATCTTTTATATCATTTCTGTATACAATTAAAAACTATTAATATAATTAAAATGCATAATTTTATTATATTTTACGCTCAATTTTTTAAAAAATCATACAAAAATTAAAATTTAAATTTCAAATCATGTATTTTGTGCATGCGTATATATATGCATGTGTGTATATCATGAAAAGTATACAAAATTTTTTTTTTAATTTTAAATCTGATTATATCATAAAATACATATAGTAATAAAATATAGCAATACAAAATGATTATTATATAATAATATTGAATAGAATAAATTATTTTATATATATTTTATTTTATATTTTTTATTAAATTATGTATAATAATATTTTCAATGAATATCTTTCGACAATATAAAGGTTAGAAACACTACAGCGCCAAATTTTTGCATAAATGAAAATCTATCCTCTTCCCCCAGAAGTATTATTAAAACTGAAATATATTTATATGTATTTTTCCAATATATATATTTATATAAATATGCAATTGATTTTTAATTTTTCCCTTTTTTTTTTATTTTGTATTTTAAACTTTATATATTTGATTATCTGAAACTCGTAATATATGAATAAAAATCGAGTTATCGATAGGGAGAATGTATCGATAAACTATCGAAAAACTTTTTGAGTCTGTAACTGTCTATATTATAGGAACTGGTAAATTTCTGGAATCAATTTGTAAGGTACTGCCTAAAAGTATTTTCTTTATTAATTTAAAACGCCTGATATTATTTCAAGAAAGTTAAGGTAATACAATTAGATAAAAATATAACTTTTAATGATTTCAATTGATATTATTTTAAATTATTTATTTTCAATTATTTACTATTTAAATATTTATAAACATGATAAGAAGATTCAATACGATTTAAATTTTTAAATTTTTAATTTTTGTATTATAGTATATGTGCTTATGCATGCATATATCCTACAAATAACAACAAAAAGAGGAAATTGACAAAATATGTCAGATCCAATTGATTATATTGATTTAACAGTAGATTCACCAATTGATAAATCTTTAAGATTACGAAATAGAAATGTTTTACGAAATAAAAATATATCTAATAATAATACAACTAAACCACGAAAACGCAAACCAAAATTAACACAGCTTCAAGATTCTATTATGTATGTATTGTTACATTATTAATTATAATTTTAAAAATATTTCAATGAATTTATTTAAAATTAAAAATTATTTTAGAGAAATACATGAGAATACATGTAAAGAAGCAATGGAAATTATAGATTTAGATAATATTAATACTACAGAGAAAAATGAATTAATATATTATGTTGATGATTCTAATGAAGGAAATTCAATTGTTTTGACTTGTCCAATATGTTATGAACAATTATCTTCTAAAATGAAACCAACATGTACTCCTTGTGGACATATATTTTGCACACAATGTTTAAACTTAGCTTTACGTAGAGCTAAAAAATGCCCAATATGTCAAAAAATTATTAAACAGCAATCTTGTACTCGTATACATTTATTATAGTTTTTGTTTGTCATATTTATTTACTTTCATTTTTATATGTATGATATAATGAACAAATATAATTTGATCTGATTATATATATTTTATCCAAATAAAAAAATAAATTAGTAATATTATAACATTAATATTCAATAATAATTCTATTATTATATACTTTCAATTATTCAATATAAATATAATTATATAATTATATAAATATAATTATATTTAGTTATATAAAAAACATACTTTGATTTATTTTATATATTTACTATATTATTTTATTTTAATATATTTACTATAGTAATTTAGTTTATTGCAATATCTTAAATTTATGAATTTAAGATATTTAAAATTTAAGAAATTTTAAATAATTACAATAATTTATAAAAACTATAAGTATATCTGCTTCAATGTATTTTATTACATTCAACAAATATATTCAATGTTTATATTTCTTCTTAAATCACCTTGAAATGTCTTTTATATGTTTAACATAATAGAATATTCTATCTTTTATATTTAATTGAATTGGACAAATTAACAATTATTAAATAATTTGATATATTATTATTAATATAATTAAAATTTCAAAATGTTAAAAAAAAACTACAACAAGAAAATCATATATCATATTTCTTTGGAGGAACTATAATTGGAATGGCAGGTGAATATTATTTCAATCAATTAATAATTATATTTTTTATATTATATATTTTTTAATAATATTATTTATTTTATAGCTGATTTTTTAGCTGGAAAATTATTTACAAATAAATCAACTCAAAATTTTGGTAAGTTTTTTTAAATATTCTAGATAAATTAAAAGAAATATTAGATCATTATTTTTTTTTTTTAGATCCTAAAATTCTTATCAGTAAAAATATAAAGTAAAATAAATTCTCAAAAACTTAACATTCATATATATTTTCATAAAATTATGAATAATTATCATAGTCGATCTAAAAGTGTTTTTCAATGTAAAGATGAAAATTACATAGAATAATCATTATTTGTAATCCCTTTAAAGTAATTTGATAATGAATTAAAAGATAATGAAAAAAATAATATAAATAATCTTAATTTAAATTACAAATTTTATAAAAATACATATAAAGTCCACTATAATATCAAAAATCATAATTATATAATATAAATGGAAGACAATATAATATATACTAATACTAATATTTTCTTAAAAAATTTTCAAGAAAAATAAAAGAAGAGTAATATAATTATTTTGAATTTAAAAATAAACAAGAATTTTTATATAATATTCAACCAGAAGATAATACAAATATAAAAATAAAAATTTGTTAAAAATAATAAATATTAAAGAAAACATATTGAAAAATAAGAATTCATAAAAATAAAATCAACTAACACATTTAATACTTTGTTCATTAATTTTTATAAAATTAATATTATTAATAAAAATATACAAAATATAAAAAATCTTAAAATTAAAATATTTTATCAAATTACAAATAATCTCAATTATATACAATTATATAATTGTATATAATAATAATTTAGATACATATTCTAGATGTGAAGAACAAAATAATATTTTGGATTGTATTTTTATCAAAGAATTTTATGAAAAAGATATAATTTTATCAATAAAATTATCAATGAAAATACAATAATTCGAGAGATATTTAATAATTTTTTAGTTATATAATATAGTAAGTATAGTAATTATTACAAACTTAAAATCTTAAGCTAATGAAAATATTCAATCTGAATCTTTTTTTTATTAAATATATATTAACATGAAATATTATATTAACAAAAAAAGTATGTATGTTATATAATAAAAAAAATAAAATAAATTGTTTAATGCAATTATAATATATGTCTATTTTAAATTTTCTCATCCTTATTTTTTGTATATCCTAAATTTGAATTAAAATCGTTTGTTGGTATAATAATATTCAATGTCATTTCTGAGCAATGGATTGGTCAAAATTATATATACGCCACGCCTACATCTACATTATGGCGGCGTCTCAAGGAAATAAGATATACAATTTTATGGAAAAAGAACTAAACTTCATAATGAAGTCAATATTTGTGGTAATTTTGAAAATTAATATGGTTCATCGCGCGCATCCAAAATGTGATAAATTATAAACAACTTTTAAATAATTTAAACTTCAAACTGTGTATTTTAATCAATTTACTGCAGTGAATATGAGTTTTCGATAGTGTGTCATTGACTCAAAACGAAGTGTCAAAATCGACTTAATTTTGTGTTTTATAAAACATTAAGACAATTACTAAAATTTAATTTATTAAAAATCATGATCGTTTAAAATTAAAGTGAATAGTATATTTATTAACCAATTATCATTATTAAACACATTTTATTGCTAGTGTGATTTCCACGGAAATGAAAAGATGTATATGACGCCAATGCTTTGTTTTCTTTTTGTCGAATACTTTCCGTTGTAAGTGTTACGTTTGATAGTGATTTTGGTAAAATACACATAATGTAATACTTTTCGTTAATTAATTCTCTCATTATCAGTGTTTTGTATATAAACGTATCGCTTTTTTATTGCTAAATATTAAACATTTGAATATGAAAAAAATCATAATTTATCGTTTGATTTATTCAAATTTTTTGATTTTTTTCATCTTTGTTAATTAGTTTTAATAATAAATAAATATTTAATGTTTTACTAAATAATTAATTAATAAATACTTGTGTTATTTATCTTCGATATATTTATTATTCGATATAATCTATATATATATAAATTTTATTAAAAATCAAGTGTAACACATAATTATATTATTTTTTCATACAAATTAATTATTAATGTTGAAGTAAATATTTTTAAGGAAAAAAGAATTACAAATATTTGAGTTTTATATATTATTTTTTAAATTATACTATAATTTCAGGTTTTTTAATGCATATTGAAGTTAAATATTAAACGTCATGGCACAAAAAACTTGTAATTAACTATTAATTTACGCTTAAACATGATACTAATGGAAAATTATTATCGAACACTCGTTAAGATGTGTTTGTTTAATGTTGTTTATCACTGATCACATCTTTGCTGAGGTCAGAGAGTGATGCCGGTTCATCAGATCAATGTTAATCCGCCTGACCGGCAACCACCTCTGTCGCTTGGTTCTTCCAATAATAATAGCCCTGCTGGTGGTGAAGGTTTACCAGAATGGACATCAAAAGTAATTTTAGATATATTTTTTTTCTTATTTTATATTTTCTCCTTTATATCTTTTATATCTAAAACATTAAATTTTTTATTTAATATTCTTAAAATAATTATTAAATTAATAAATTATTTCTTTTAATAAAATTTTTTTAAAAAAATATGTTTATTTGTGATCTTGAATTAATTTTTATTTTATTATATTATTTTATTATGTTTATATGTTATTTTATTATGTTATATTTAATAGAATATATTTATTATATTATATTATAAATATATTATATTTATTCTTTTTAGGAATCAACATATCCAACAGTAGTTACAATCATACCAGATCATTACCATTCATCAGTAAGCACATTGTCTTCAAGCAATGATATTTGCAGGTAAATGTTCAAGTTTATTGTATTAAAGTTTATTATAAATTGTTTAATTAATTAATACTTTTTTAATACATATTTTTTTAAAGTAATATATTATAATATTATTAAAATAATTGTTTTAAAATAATATTTAATTTATTTACATAATAATATATACAGATTTTTTTTTCTTATCATAGAATATGTCATTGTGAAGGTGAAGAAGGTGCTCCACTTTTAGCACCTTGTTATTGCAGTGGCAGTTTACGCTATGTACATCAAGCTTGCCTTCAACAATGGATAAAAGCTTCAGACACACGTGCTTGTGAATTATGTAAATTCACATTTATTATGCATGCTAAAACAAAACCATTTTGTGAGGTATTATTTTTTTATATTTTTATAAATTCTGTATATATTTTTTTGGAAATAAAACTATAATTTATCATTTATCAATATAATTAATTTTAAGAAATATATATAATAATAATTAATAATTTTTAGTGGGAAAAACTTGAAATGTCTGCCCTAGAAGTTCGTAAATTATGGTGTGCAGTTGCTTTTCATGCAGTAGCTGCACTTTGTGTGGCTTGGTCTTTATATGTACTCGTTGAACGATCTGTGGAAGAAGCTCGACGTGGATATGTAGATTGGTCTTTCTGGACTAAATTAATAGTTGTTGTAATTGGTTCTACAGGTGGTTTAGTTTTTATGTATATTCAGTGCAAAGTATACATTACATTATGCAGAAAGTGGCGAGCATTTAACAGGTATGTAACATTAACATTAATTATTTCGATTTAATTACAAATTTTATAAATTATGTTAATTATACATTTTTTAGAGTAATATTTATTCAAAATGCTCCTGAAAAAGTGGTGCTTCCTCCCTCACCTACAGACTCTTTGAGAGAAGTAACATTGCCTCTAAAAGATCCAACTGCCTCTATGCCTGAGCTCAATCATTCCTTATTACCCTGTAACATAGATCCTCCATGTGCCTCGCAGATGGTAAAACCGGATTCTGCCGCGCCTCCACAAAGGCACGACGCTCAATTGAAACTTTATGTATTTGATAAATTATCCTCATCTGAAGACAACTTATAATACAATTGGTATAATACAAATGGCTGCTAATTGTATACTAATGATTAGCAAAAAAAAATATATAATGCAAATGTCTAGAATAAAGTTATAATTCTAGACCACAGTACGATTTTGAAAATCGAAGTTTCTATTTCGAAACTGTCAAATGTCCGCCCTTATGGAGCACCTTTATCTGGAATTTAGTACTTCAGTGCTTACATTGACAATGGAATAGTTGAAGGTGTTTAACCAGTAGGTTAAACATTTTCTCCAACAATTGTGTACATAATTATTGTATCTGTGATGTTATTAAATAAAATTTACCATATTTAAAGAGTATTTTTAATTTTTATAATAAAAATCTGCATTCATTTTTTAAAGCTTTCATTTACAATATTAAGATAATGTGATATCAATATAATATTCTTTATTGCAAGAATTTAAAAATGATTATGCTTATTTAAATTATTAAAAGAAATAATGATATTTACTACTAAAATAATAATAAATATATTAATTTACATTAATTAAATAAACTTTTAAAATTATCTTTAAATTTGTAAAACCAATTAATTAATTTTGAACATTCGACAAATTTTGATGTATATATAATACTTAATTGTAAAAGATATTAATATTAAATTAATATTATTTGCTTTTAAAAAAAAATATTTAGATATTATATAGTACGTATATCCGGCCATTTTTATTGCAAGTATGAAGTTGTTCACAAGTAATTGTATTATAATGTTTATATTTAAAACTTTAAATATTGTGTTAAAAAATAATATATAAATAAAATTATAGCAAAATTTTTTTATTTCATTTTTTTCTGTAAAAAATTTATTATTTCGAATATTTTCAATATACATTTTGATTTAAAGTTTATAAAATATAACTTTATAGGTGGCACTAGTTTTCCGGAAATAGTTACAAGAGTTACACGAATGCACTGACTATAGTAACAGTGAGCGTCAGTTTGTTAAATCTGTATCCGGAGGTAAGATGAATATTTGTAATCCATATTTAATTATCTATTAATAATCAATCCATTTATAAAATGTATTTAACTGCATTAAGAATATTGTCAATTTTACTAGTGTACAATAGTTTTATTATTGGTTATGTTATATGATGGAAAATTAAATGATGCACAAGTGTTTATCTTGTAATCATATATATTAAATACATGAATGGAAGATAGATTATGTAATTTTAAATGAATATACACGTGTGTACATCTATATCTTAAAATGAATGTTTTGTAAGAAAATTAAATTTTATTTGTTCTATTTATTTTATACTATTCATTTTTTTTTTTTATAAGAAAACGGTGTAGCGTCACTAAAATGGCGGTTACGTTGAGTGTAAAGTTTCTATAATTTTTATTGTTAGAGGCAAGTTTTTGTAGATTGATTTTTTCATAATGTAAAAATTGAATATTTACTTAATAAGAAAAACAGAAGAATGCATATTTGAATTATAATATTTCAAACAATGTATTCCTAATACATAAATAATGTATTTAAATTTTGAATCAAATTTCTTTTTAATTAAAAATAAATTTAAAAAAAAAATTTATTATATATACTGAAAATAAAATATATTTATATTATTATTTTAAATAATAAAATAACTTTTGAATAATTTATAAATTATGAAAAATTATATAAATTTAATACTATTAAATTATTATATATTTGAAAATGTATTTGAAACATATACAAATTTTATTATAAGTGCAATGTATATATATTATGTTTTTCAAATTTCAGCAATAATTTATCAGATATATAAAAGATATGGCAGATAACGATGATCTTTTGGATTATGAGGATGAAGAACAGACTGAACAATTAGTTGATGGAAGCAGGGATACACCTGCTAAAAAAGAAGTTAAAGGCACATATGTATCTATTCACAGTAGTGGATTTAGAGATTTTCTTCTTAAACCTGAAATATTACGCGCAATTATTGATTGTGGTTTTGAGCATCCATCTGAAGGTTTGTTATTTATTTATACCATTATTATGTGATATATAAAAATATTAAATTTTTAATTTATTTAAATTCATATATCAAAATAGACATTTATTTATCGCAGAGTTCAAGATTTTACCACTAGAATGATATAAGAATATTTCTTTTTAATTATTTAAATATATGATAATATTTATGATGATATTATTTATAAATGTTTTATATAATTATAATTCTTTGATTAAAAATAATCAATCATATATTCCTTCTAGAAACAAACTTTTGGACTCTATAGTATGTAAATGATGATAATTGATAGGGACAACAGATTATACATGAATGATATGTTTATATAAACTGATTATTTATTATATAAAATATATTTTTTTCTCATTTTAAAAAAATAGAAATTTTTCATGAATATTATTTACAGTTCAACATGAATGTATTCCTCAAGCAGTTCTTGGCATGGATATATTATGTCAAGCAAAATCTGGTATGGGAAAAACTGCTGTATTTGTATTAGCAACATTACAGCAATTAGAATTAACTGAAAACCAAGTTTATGTTCTTGTCATGTGCCACACACGAGAACTTGCTTTTCAAATAAGCAAAGAATATGAAAGATTTAGTAAATATATGCCTCATGTAAAGGTAAATTATAAATATAACTTATTATATTTATTATATTATAATTATAATTAATACAAAATCTTCATATGATGAATTGTAAATATCTGAGTAAATAATGGTGACATCTTTTGATACCACTACCTACCACTGATGAAGATTCTTATATATATTATAATTCAGTTTTATATGAGAAATTTAATATTAAATAATAGTTTATATATTAAATAATATGTTTACATTATTAGGTTGGAGTATTTTTTGGTGGTTTGCCAATTCAGAAAGATGAAGAAGTTCTGAAGAATACATGTCCTCACATTGTTGTTGGTACTCCAGGTCGCATCCTTGCTCTTGTTCGAAATAAAAAATTAAATTTGAAACATTTGAAGCACTTTATTCTCGATGAATGTGACAAAATGCTCGAATTATTAGGTATTTAAAATGACATTTCTTTTGATATATTTATAATTTTATCTTGAATATTAAATATATAATTTAAATTTATTTCTAGATATGCGTAGGGACGTACAGGAAATATTTAGAAGCACTCCACACGGCAAACAAGTCATGATGTTCAGCGCTACATTGTCCAAGGAGATACGTCCTGTCTGCAAAAAATTTATGCAAGATGTAATTAACAAATCTTCCTCTTCACTTCGATCTTCGATTGCTCCTACTTCGTTGGCCCTGTATTCATACCCAGGACAAAGCTCAGACCATACTATAAATATCGTTGACGGCGCACCCGCGGGTTAGGCTAGTTAAACAACACTTTGAAGGAGTGACACAGAATTCAATAACGAAAAAGCCCCTCGATGTCTTCGATTGAAATCAAGTTCTACAACTCAAATGTAACGAGTTGCTGCTCCAAAGTTTTTCTCCATTTACTGGATGACAATATCTGCTCGTAAAAGGAACGATATCTTCATTTAAAATCGTTTCTTGAATTAATCAAGATGGCGTTGAGGATGCTTTAAAATATTTTATTTAGTTCCGATCTTCGATGTTAACATTTTTTAAATTGTCTGCTGCATATTAATATTACCAAAATTAAAATGATATTCGGTATAATGTTATACGAATGTTGGAAAACATTCATATATATCGGGATGGGTTGGGTGGAAAATGTTTCTACCATTTTTATGGGTAAATGATTCAGTCAGGTGAAAGGGAAGGGTAGATTTTTAAATGACTTAGAGCAGCATTGAAAGCAGTTTCCAATTGGGTGGGGGGCCAAGAAGATTTCAAGACAACCTGAAGACAGAAGTGCGCAAGAAAGAAGATGCAAGAGGATATATGGGAAACTGGGGTTAGCTAGGATGACAATAATGTAATTATGTGCCATATGTCTAGAATTTATTCGCGTTCGTCTTATCTATAATTGAAACAACAATATTTTGATATTTTACAAAAAATGCTAATGGAGGTCAGTAATCAATTCATAGGAGTGAAAATGGAAGTGTTAATATATAGTTTGGTCGTGCCTATATGAAAACTAAATATAAATCAGTTTGTGTATCACGAATTATAAGCTATTTAAATCGCGATGTTAAAGTATATCCCAGAGGCCATTAAATTTTGTGATATATGAGCATACCAACAATAATCAAGGCCAATTCTGGGCATATATTCTGAATGTACTAGAATTTGGGAGAAGAGATTTGGCATCGAGTGGCCAGCGGATGTGTGACACAGAACATTCATGGGTGCGCCTTCTTAGTTCTGTTGGGGTGACTGCTGAGTTTTCGTTGTTGGCATTACCCAGAGATGGAAGTCGCCGGACCGTATGTAACCAGTATGACTAATCCGATCGACAAATAAGTGCAAAAAATGAGAGCTCAAGCGGAAAGTTCTCGAAATCATCTAAATGCATTTTATTTATAGTCACTTGATATATAATTACCATTATCAAGGAAGCGGGAGAAATTGGGACATTTATATAAAAAATACTTTACATTTTCATATCATTTGTTTCATTTCTTAAATTTTCGTTTGTAATTTTTCATTTTACGTCTCAAATTTATTTTCAATTATTTTTTTTACATTTAATAATTAATTTCATTCATAAATTTCATCACATTTTCAACTTCAATAAATATTGAAGTATTTTTTCATGTGTCACATCTACGAAAATATTATATTGAATATAAAAATTATCAAGGTATGATTATCTTTAGAATAAAATAGATAATCTTATAAAAAACATTCTTTGCGCAGCCCATGGAAGTCTATGTGGATGATGAAGCGAAACTCACGTTGCATGGTCTACAACAACATTATGTGAAACTTAAAGAAAATGAAAAGAATAAGAAGCTATTTGAATTGCTTGATGTACTTGAATTTAATCAGGTTTGTCTGCAGAAATCAATTAAATTATATTGTTTTAATTTAAGTTCAAAATTCTTATTATATATATTAAATCACTATAATTTTTATTTCTATTTTAAATTATTCTATAGGTTGTTATCTTTGTAAAATCTGTACAAAGGTGCATGGCCTTGGCACAACTTTTAACAGAACAAAATTTTCCTGCAATTGGTATACATAGAGGTATGACTCAAGAAGAACGATTATCAAGGTATCAGCAATTTAAAGATTTCCAAAAAGTAAGTATCAAATTGTAAATTTATATATATTTAATATATATTTAATATAATATTTAATATAACTTATGTGTATAATATATTATTTATGTCTAAATAATTACAAACAAGTACTTATTATTTTAGCGAATTCTTGTAGCTACAAATTTATTTGGACGTGGTATGGATATTGAGCGTGTAAACATAGTATTTAATTACGATATGCCAGAAGATTCAGACACATACTTACATCGAGTAGCTAGAGCCGGTCGTTTTGGTACCAAGGTTAATATTTATTTGATATTTAA